TGTCGAGCACGAGGCGTCGGAGTGACTGTAACGAGGTGAACGTGTCGGGAAGGAGTTTGACCCGCGTGCGACGAGGTGCAGGTTCGTGAGCGAAGCGAGACGGCCGATGGAGGGAGGAATGGCTTCGATGTAGTCCTTGCAATACAGATGAAGATCCTCCAACCGAGTGCACTTGCTGAAAAGGGAGCAAAGCGCATCCTCGGAAAAGCTATCGTACGCAAAGGCTCGGTCCGTGGCGCCAATGTAAAGCTCGGTCAGGTCGGGACACGTGTCGGCGATGCGAAAGAGGATGGAATCAGGGACGTGGGTCATGCTGAAAGGGGAGATGGCGATTTTCCTGAGCCTTGGGATCGACGAGAGCTGCTGAAGTACCCGACTAAGAGTGGAGATGCTGTTTAAGGGGATGCGGATCTGGTCTCTCACGCGACACGCGATGTCGTGCCAATGCTTGCACACGAGAGCGTGGTCGAACTGGCTGTCGTCGGACCTGATGATAGGGACAGATTGGAGGATCCTGGCGAGCAGGTCGTCGGGCAGCCGTTGGATAGGCGAGTCCTCATGCATCGTGACCAGAAGAGGGATCGGCATGATAAGCAGATATATTCTTCAATCTCGATCTGAAGTACGCAAGCAAGATAAGGGACCTCTATAACTAAGCATCGACAAAAGGGTACTAAAGTTAACTAATAGCTGCTGAACTGCGTCTGACCAGCGGAGAGCTTGGATGGGTGACAAAAAGGCGTGGTGAATCAACTCGTAGAAGTTCATATGGCGGCTGAGTTATCTGTAGAATAGGCCTAAACCTTCGGAGAGTCAGGAAACTTAGGTCAACCCAACAGTCATAAAATCGGACCCTTGGGTTGACTTGACTTGCATCAACCCCAAACTGTGATGGAATGGGATGGGACAGAGAAAGACGGGCAGGGGAGGCTGGAGTAAAGCCACTGGTGTGGGTTCAGGGCGGGTCCCAATAGTTCATTTCGGGCTTCGGGACACGATTATAAGAACCCCGGTACAAATCCCTGAAACGATTGCGAATTCGTAAATTCCCGAAATTGTGTCATAGTTCGCACGTGGCGCACAAGCGGGACGCCAATTGTCCACATGTGAAAAAACCGAGCGGCGCGCAACGGCCCAAAACGCAGTTACGAAATGTAAGCCTGCGCGAAACACAATTTTCGTACACCGCGGAAAAGACAACAGGCGGGGAAACCCATCCCGCTTTTGCAAACATCGGCAGCGGCGAGCCAGGGGGGCCAATCAACAAGCGGGTGAATCTTTCCTCGCCTAGGTACTTGCGAGCGCGACAAAACATCGGCGCAGAGTGGTCCAACTAGTGGCGCGTTCGGTGCGGTATGGCGTCGCGCGCGCAGATGTATTCGCGACGTCGCCTGGTTTTCGCCATCGCCAGCGGGGCGATATCCAGGCGCGACACACTTGGAACCCCGTCCCCGAACCTTGCACCTTCCGGCTTATTTACGTTTGCAATCCGAAATCTGGTACAGGCCCGACGCATGTGAAGGGTGTCCCAGGCTACGTCAATATTTAAGTCGTGTCCTGGCGAAACCTTAAACAAGGTGTTACTTGATAAAATCGGGTTACTTTTCACGAAATGAACGGAGTGTGAACTATTGGGACCCGCCCTCAGTAACCGACCTAGTTCGCGACCAGTAAAAGGTCATTCATGTTTTGTCAAAGGTCGATTGTCTTCAGGTTTGGCAGGGAACAATGTACGTCGAATGCTGTCAATTATTTCGTTTTCGTCTCGCGAACGTCGTGAACCACCTCCAACAACCAGAGGAAAGCGTCGGAAACTGGAGCAGGAAGAATGACCACAATACAGATCCTATTGTACGCAGGGTAAGGGCGTGTCCAGCGCGTTCGTTTACTATTCCCTTTGCATATCAGGTACGAAATTTCGACCTGGTAACCCGAAACTTCGTGTCCATTTGGACGCACGATAAATTGACGGTTTTGGCGGACACCCTCCAAACGTGCCCACACTCGTGGGCCGCACGTTTCCAAACCGAATGAAAATCGTGCCCAAATTATATAACGGCAGAAACGTCCAAATCTTGGCTCGCGAGAAATAGAACGCTTACATTCGCCAAGCTTTCGTGACGCTAACGAAGCACGGCGAAAAAATAAGAAGAAGAATTGGAATTCGTCCCGTGATTCTGTATTTTTTTTCATCTGGCGAGGGGCAAATTGAGCCCTCCATTTTTTTCCCTCTGGGTCGAGTCGCGGCTCGTAATGCGTGTTCGCGAAAGCGAGCGGGCCCTCTTTCCCGGGGAGAAATTCGGTTACCCTGCTGTTTTCGCGTGTCAGTCTGTTATGTGCGCGATGCGCACCCGCTTATTTGTCGAGACACGGGCGGGGCTCGTGCCAGCGCGTTTTGCTGTTGATACTGTAAATGTACCTCAACACATGCACACTTGGCGAATCAATATTTCGACGTGTTAAAAAAACGACAAAAACTCGTGCTAGGGCAAAATGAACGCGCTGGACACGCCCCAACTCTTACTCTTCGTTTCCCAGATCCAGTCACTCTCTTCTCATCTCATTCAATGTTTTATAGAGTCGAAATCAGCAGCGTCAAACTTTTTGTTCAATTTGATGCCGCATGGCAAAATCTTTCGACCCGTGGTCCCAGAAATGCGATGGTCTCAAAACATCGAGAGATAAATCCTCAATGTCCAAACTTTAAAGACAAAACTTTAAAGCTAGTAAAGGATTCTGTCGCGGTTTACATTCGTGCACATCTCCGCGACGCGATATTGGGAAATATATACGGACACGTCAATTAGGGCAGCCTGAAACAAAATAAAACCCGCAGTGGCCCGATATTCGATTTGGAGTGGCATCAACCCTAAAGACGCAAAGCCGCGAGTTTAGGGTTCATGCCACCGCAAGTCGCATGCTACATGAAGGAGTCCAAGCTGTACACAGTGCCGCTGAGGATCTTTAGGCGCAAGCGCCTTCGTAAAGATATTAGCTGCGTTGGCATCGGAGGCCAAGTGTACTACGCGGGCCTGGCGACGCTGCTGTAGCTCGTGCAGGAGGAAGTACCGCAGCTAGATGTGCTTCACTCTGCCCTCAAGTCTGGGCTCCTAACACAGGAGGATCATGGCCCTGTTGTCAGCGTACAGGACCAGGGCAGAGCTAGGCTGCTCACCTAAGTCTGTGGGCAAGAAAGTCAGCCAACGGAGCTCCTGTGCTGCCATGGCACTAGCGTAGATCTCAGCCTCACAGCTGGACTGGGCAACAGACGACGAGCGGGTGGACCTCCACGAAACAACACCTGCACTAAGGCTAAAGGAGTAGCCCTGGGAGGACCTGAGAGTCTCAGTGCCGTCGGCCCAAGAAGCATCTGTGTGCCGGGTAAGGACCACAGGTCTGCATCGTCCTAGCACTAGCCTCATGCCCGATGTACTTGCTAGATAACGCAAAACCCTCGAAGCTGCAGACCAGTACTATGGTCGGTGTCTACCACAGGCCATAAAGCGGGCCAGGATGCTGAGAGGGTATGCAAGATCTAGACGAGTGCAAGTCATTAGGTACATGAGGCAACCCACCAGCTCTGCGTAAGGACCACTAGGCTCTACAGCCTCCTCCGGAACTTGAGCTGAGAGTCTGTGGTCTACTGACAGAGGGATGGGCTGTGCGGAAGAGAACTGAAGGCCGAACCTCTCAAGGACCTGGCGCACCAAGTGTAACTGTATGAGAGTGATGGTGCACACTGCTCTGTCCTTGTAGATCTGCAAGCCAAGGTAGCGGCGCAGCTCTCCTAGGTCAGTGCAGGTGTGTCTCCTCAGCAGCTCGGCCTTCACAGAGGCCAGCGCGTCTCTGTCTGCAGTAGCAAAGACCTGATCATCTACGTAAACAAGGATATAGAACGGAGTCTGGCCGGAGTGGACGAAGAGCGAGGGTCCGCAGACGATGGGAAGAACTACAGATCAGCAAGTGTAGCACGCAGCGTGTCGTGCCACTCACGGGGCGCCTCGCGTAGGCCGTAGACATAGGGGCTATCCACTAAGGGTCCCGAGGTAGCCTCAGCATAGGTGCAAGGGGTCGGGATGTCAAGGGCGTCTGGGTCACCCTCAAGGACTAGCAGGATGGAACAGAGATGGGGAGCGGCTCTGACAGGAAAGCAAGGTCGTACTGTGTGTCCTCTAGGACGTCACTGCCAAGGGCAGCCACACCCCCGACGGACGGAGGGCAGGCTGGGTCAAAGACCAGAGCGGGGGCGTAGTCAAGGCGGCAGGTAGCGGCAAAGTCAGTAACAGCAGGGACAAGAGCCGACAGACTCGAGACAGGATCGGACGGGTCAGTAACAAGAGAGGCAAGGAGATGAGGAACAAGGGGACGTGCGGCACAGAGGATGTCAGAAAACGGAGGCGGGGCCACAGCAAGCGACGACGGGAGAGGAGATGGGAGGAGTGGAGGAGCACAAGACACGTGGGAGCAAAGCAACATAGGGTGAGAACGCGGAAAAGGGAAGGTAGGACGAGCACGAGACGGATGACAAGCCCAGACGTGGGACGGAGGAGTCGGGTCTGGAGAGAGGGGAGGAGACACAAGAGGAAAACAAGGAGGGAAACGAGCTAGAGAAGAGTCCACAGGAGGAAACACAAGGCCGTAGATCGGCAAAGGAGGAGGCAGCAGCGACTGAGGAGGCACCGGAGGGCGGTCAGGAGAAGGAAGGCCGAGGAGGTGAAGAGAGGACACTGGCGGCGACTGCGACGACTGCTGCCCGACTACAACACCAGAATCTCCAACAGCACCACAGCTCCCTCCGTGAAGCCCCACGCTAGCACCCCCAGAACGGGATCCCGCTTCAGTACCCGCTCCGGCACGCTTCCCAGCACCCCTAGAACGTACAAATCCCAACGGCGGTGACGACGGCGGTTGCGGCTGTGGCGGCGACGGCGGTTGCAGAGGCGGCCGCGGCTTTGATAGCAACGGTAGCAACAGGGGAGGAGAGAATGGGGTAGGAACAGGCGGGGGAAGGGACTTCGCCGAGCCGCGAGAGCCAGCAGACCCCTCGACAAGAACAACTGATGGGAGGGGGGTGACGTGAGACACACCAGTCGGGGCAAGGCGGGGAGGGGGGGAACAGGGGCGACCGGGGGAGGGGGGGGAACCAGGAATTCGGGGGGAGTGACCGGGGGACCATGGTGGGGGAAAGCGGTGGTAGAAGGAGGCGGACTCTTCAAAGGTGACGTCGCGAGAGTGAAAGAAACCGTGAGACGGCGCGTGGTAGAAGTTCCAATCAGACGAGTCGAGGGGGGAACCTAGGAAGACACAGGGGACAGTGCGGGTAGTGAGCTTGTCCGTGCCAAAGGCACGAACGTGAGCAAGCAGCGACAGACGTGGAACGCAGACGCGTCACCAGGAGACTGTTGAGCATAGCCCTAATCCTGCGAAGGTTGCAGAAGTCTGCTGAAGCGGCATATCAACGAAGTTTGCGGACACGAGCCCTGCAGAAAGGCCCATCGACGAAGAGCAGATTTGTCAACAAGGCGAGGCTCTGCGGGAAGTGGCAGAGGAGCAGTTTTCGTTGGTGGCAGAAAGAACTTCTGTCGTAGTGGCAAAACAAGAGCGCTTTTTTCTGTATATCGCTTCTACATCGACATGTGCTTCTGTAGAAGCGGTCTCGGCAGAATCGAGAGTGTACAAGACCCTCTGCCGATTTGGCACTAGGGGCCATTCGCAGAAGGGTTGTCCTCTGCCGAAGTATCGCACAGAAGACATTTCTGCAGGCGACCCTGTCGGCAGAATTGACTCTCGGAAATGCGTTCCAACAGGACCTCGGACAGGGTGACACAAGGACCTGCTCGCGCAGAATTACGGTCTGCCGAAGTTCGGCAGAAAG